CAGCTTGAGGTTGATTCCCCGAATTTCCACTCTACCAGGTTCAAGGAACCACTACTTTCTCGGATTCCAGAAATTGAAGACCATAAGAAGGGACGTGATGTACTCCTTAACTTTAAAGCGGACATAGGACCAGTGCTCCATGAAGCTAGCCGGTATAGCAATGCTCTCAATCTATCTAAGGCAGCACATATCCTGAGAAAATAAATGCTCCAGGACAAGACAAAAATTAGCAGCGAGCTCAAAGATGGCTTTAGTGAGGAGGCTATCCCACCTGATCTTCTTCAGTTCGTGTGCAGAATTGAACATGGTGTTGATATAAAATCACATCTGACCCTCGGAATAGCGAAGTCAGACGTAGCTATTGCTCAGCTTTTACAGTTCAACTGCTACTCAAAATGTAGAGAAGGAATGACAACTCAAATACATTCTAAAGACTATGAGACTCCTTTTGTTGACTATGTTGGGTTGAAGGTGTACGCCAAGACACGAAAAAGAGAGTTGATTGACAAATTCCATGAGCATGGACTAAGCATATTATATGACAGGGTATTAGAGATATCCGGCAAGCTTGGTGAAACTGTGATAAAACAGTATGTCGAAGAAGATGTTGCGTGCTCACCAGTGCTGCGAAAAGTGCTGTTCACTACGACCGCTGTCGACAACATTGATCACAATCCCACGGCCACCACAGCTAGCACGTCATTCCATGATACAAGTATTTCCATGTTCCAACACCCAAGTAAGGGAAACAGAGGAGAACAGCTGGTTTCACCGGAAATAACAGACAGTAGAACAAGAAATGTTCCTGAGCTTCCAGAGCATTATACAAATATCGCACCAGCCTACTTCAAGAAGAACCCAACAGCAGCCTCAGTAGATGAAATATCACTACCTGACCCCAGTCTCTTCCAAAGGAACATAAGAGTCGAATACGAATGTTTGGAAAAAGTTCAAGGTACCGCCGATGTAGATGATGAATTCAATATACATGGTCAGCTCATCATGCGAGTCAGAAACGGACTAGCGAATGTGAAACCAGCACCACTTCCTTGCTACATCTTCTCCGAGATCAAGCTCACAACGATGCCACAATAAAGCATGACACGAAGAAAGTAAGGGAATCTGTAGCATTTCTTAAACCATGGCAAACCCCCGTCCTGGCAGCTGATCAACCACTCTATGCCATGGCAACAGAAATACAGTGACACTGTCCAGAAGAATATGGAGAAGACAAGTTTGTGATCATGGTTGGTGGGCTGCACTTTGAGATGACAGAACTGAAGTCTATTGGGTCGATGCTAGCAGACAATGGATGGACAAGTGTACGTGTTGAAGCAGATGTAGCCTCTTCCGGAACTGCAGATTCATTCCTGTTGGCAACTAATGTCACTAAAACACGTCAAGAACATCAGGGCACAGCATGCAATTTGTTTCAGCTACTGAAGAAAATCTACAGTTCGTACCATCTGATGGCGATGAGGAGACCTCCACCTTTGTGGAATGGTGTGATAGTCGAAAGGATGAGAGTCCACAGTTCGCATTTTGGTTCTCTATCCTTAACATGGAATTGACAATCTTAACACTGGTGCGAGCGGTTAGAGAAGGGAATTTCAATCTGTATCGAGAATCACTGTCGCAACTGATAGCCTACCTCTTTGCCAACAACAATGTCAACTATGCAAGATGGCTTCCTATTCATCTACGTGATATGATATCATTAGAGAAGCAGTACCCCGAGGTTGCCAGAGAATTCCACAATGGGAATTTCGTCGTTCATAAAACTGACAGGAAGTTCTCCGCAATGGCAATCGACCAAGCCCATGAACAAAATAATGCCGTCATCAAAAGTGATGGGGAAGCTGTTGGTCTGACAAAGGATTCATCAGCTCTTCGGAGGTGGATGGTGGCTGGTCCAGAAATTAGCAAATTCGTTGCTGACTATGAAGGCGTATCAGGAAGCAAAGAGGCGAAGAAAGGAAGTCATCACCATTAGCAGTCGCCAACTGCTCAGAAGGCATTCTTTGAAAAGGTTCAGCGGCTTACAAATGTTATATAAGAAATGGTCAATCTATTTTCCCAGGAATCCACTGATCTACTGTCGCTTGACACTAAGAACATTGCTGATCCTACAGCAGCGCTGCTGATTGCATCTCATCTGGAGAAAGGGAAAGAGCAATTCCAAACATTCATGGATAAACTCAAGACCGACAGTCAGCATTTCTATCAGCCAATCAAACGGAATAATAAAGACTTCTTCAAAACAATCACAGATCCAACAGAGAAATCAGAAACACAGCTACTAAAGGAGGATTGTCAACTGTTCTCCCGCCTTTCCATCTCCTGCCAAAGCAGAGGATGTGATTTACCAGAGTTTTTCAAACATGAGAACCAATCTTTCCCTCCGTCACTCAGCAAGCGAGGAAAACTACATGTTGCTACCAAGTCTGATCTCGTGGACGTCCTGTAATTCAAGGTGGAGCTTCCAGACACGAAGCCAGAAAATGACGTAGTCATAGTAGATGGTGCATTTCTAGTCAATACAGTAACGCCTAGGACACCGAAGATGTTTGAAGAATATGCCAGACAGGATATTCTTCCTAAGGTGCAATACTACAGTAACAATTACAAGAGGACAGATATCATTTTTGATGTGTCAAGAGTCTTGTCCAAAGTCTGAAGCACGATCAAAACGCGGGAAAGCTATCAAGAGGAGAGTAACGGCAAAAAGCAAAACACCGACTAATTGGAAGAGCTTTCTAAGGGACAGCGCCAACAAAACAGAACTGTTGAATTTCCTTGCTGACGAAGTGGGTAAAATGACCACAACGAATGAAGTAATTGTAACACGAGAGGAAAATGCTCTACTAACTTCCAGCCATCCTGATACTAAGATAGACCAATTGGCTCCTTGCACATCTGAAGAGGTAGATACCCGGATACTTTTGCATTTCTGGAATGCGGCTAAGGATGGACACAAGTCTCTTATGATTGAATCTAACGACACGGACATTGTAGTCATAGGCTTAAGCCTAATGTCTTCTTTCACTGCAATTACTGAAATTAATGAGTCTGATCTACAAGTTCTGGAGAGATTTGTTGTTCTGATGTATTTCCGGTTTAGTGCTGCAACTACAGTAGATGAAACAAGGTTAGATCTCTTTGCCAGGAAGCAGAGTTCATACGAATTAATCCAGCCAAAACAAGGAGCGCTAAAGGAACATGCCAGACGTGCTGCCTTCCAAGCAAGACATATCTGGAGGCAGTCCGTCGTTCATGATCCAGAGCTTCCGTGTCCTTCCAAGTGGGGATGGTTGAAAGACGGTAACAAATGGAAAGTTGCCTGGACTTCCTTGAAACCAATTTCTAAAAGCTGTCGTGAATTGACAAAGTGCGGATGTAAGATAAAATGTGGTGGAGGATGATGCAAGTGCACAAAGGTTAGAACAGGCTGTACTCCGCTTTCCAGTGGTCCTTGTGAGATTTGTAAACAACAACAAATGAACTTCGGGCTGGACTTTTGTCGCCGGTTCTTGGAAGGTTAGCCTATTGAAATTCAAAAGCAGAGAGTTGTAAGGATATATATGACCTGTAGATATTTTCCCAGATATGGACAATTTCCATGTTGGGTATTAGCACAATCATCAGGATTGTAAATGTCGACTTTAAATCATTTCATGTAATTATCCACCGTAGAGTATGGGCGATATATCATGCCAAATCAATTGAAACAATGCAATCATTGAATTCTCTCACTCAGATTTAGAATTGATACGGCAATAAATCAAAAATATTTCATCAAATTCAACTAATTTAATGATTTCAGATTAAAATCATAAAACAGGGGCCCGTTTGGCAGCCATCTTGAAAAAGTGGCCACCATATTGTTTTTTTCCTGGCTAACACTTTCATCTGAATGAATGGCCTACAAGGAACACTCATGCCAAATTTCATGTTTATATCACAATTTGCACTATAGTTTTTTAGCAAAACCATAAAACAGAGGACCGTTTCGCAGCCAACTTGAAAAATGGCCGCCATGTTTAATTTTTTTCGTAACTAGCACTTTTTTTCTGAATAAGTGACCTATCAGGAACACTCATGCCAAATTTCAAGGTTATCTCACCATTTGCACGATTCTACCCAAAATTTACATTTTCCTGCTCCACTATAAGTGAATATAACGAATCTAACCTCGGATCTCCGATTACCATTACCCATTACACCACCTGCACATCCACGCTTACAGCAACTGGTATAAGCAATTGGTCACCCATCTGAAAACGCTCGAAGTTGCGTAACTTTCTGATCATCGCACGCGAATCGGTAGTTTCAACGTGATACGACCGTAAGCCATCTGGGCCTTATGAAAAAAAACAAAAACAAACGAAGCATCAAAATGACCATTTTCCTTGTCGAATTTCTTTTTTACAAAATGACAATGAGTGTCAAGCAATGAAAGGAAAAAGTATGAGCCATTTAATATTTTTCTTTTTATATGTAGCTGAATGTTAGGCAATATCTTCATAAACGGATTGAAATAACAGAGATGAAGATGGATAGCTAGAATGACATGGAAACAGCATGAATGTTTAATGAACATTTTAACAAAAAAAAACATTTATATTTAGAATTAGAAAGAGACAAGTTTGATTCTACGCTTTATCAACCCTTCGCAGGTCAAAAATATTTTTAAATATTAAGAATTTTGGAGGGGTAATAATAATGATACAATAATAAATGTCTTACTAATTAAGGTTTAGGGAAGAGGATATAGATGTTTACATTTCTCAAGTATATTTGACCCTGTCTGTTGACAATTATTCATTCTAAAATCTGTTAGAAACTGTAACAATTTACATCCGTTCTTCTACTTGAGTGTAGATTCATCAGCCTGGAGCGATGGTAAGTGAATATAACGAATCCAACTATATTGGAACACGACTCTGCGATTAAAAATCTTGAGCCATTATGCATTACACCAACCGCAAATTCAACCTTACACACCTGGTATTCACAAGCGGTCACCCATCTAGATACTGATCAGGCATGACGTGGCTTAACTTATTTGATCGTACGGGGACCGGTGTTTCAAGGTTTCATTGTTTGTAAGCTCAAAAAAGGGAGTTGACCAGTCTCTGCGAAATAATTAATAAGTAGGCTTGGAATATTTGACACTCACAAGTAACGTCGAAAAAAGCAAAGATGAAAATCGTGTTGACTTTATATACTTGTGTAACTTAATGTCACAACAGAGATTGGGAAGTAAAGAAACACATTGATTTGTGCTACAAGAGAAAAGAATAGTTACGAGTAGTGATTTTATTATGTTGTGCTTTTGTTAATGTTATATTTTACAAAACAATTTGATTTCTTTAAGAAATTGTGGGTTATTTTATGGATTAATATTATGAAAAAATATATACAATATGGGTTGTTTAATATTGAGATCTAATTCATTTGAAGACAATTTTATGAGTTCACCTACTGATAAAATGTATCGTGGGTCATTTTGCATTAAAATTTATTGTTGGTAATTTTACAATAAATCTACATTGTTGGACTTTATTTTATATAAAGTAGTATTACTGTTTTTTGGGGTTTTATTAATTTTTTTTGTTACTATAAAAATGTATATTTATATTTTCATATTATTTCGTTTTGGAATGTTCACTATTTGCCCATAACTGGAACCCTAACAAGTGCTACCACCCCGGGTCAAGTTGGACTTGGGGACAACAGCAATTAAAAGGTAGTTCTACGCTGCTGAACCCACCAATCTCCCGATCAGAGGCCTTGATGTAGTTTATCTTCATACTCGAGTCAGAGAAAAGAAGATGTGGAGAGACATGATCACACACAGTATGAAGGATCGTGTTACAATAAATTTGAATAAAACTGTGATGTTTAAAAACGTTTAATAGTGCGCAGTTTTAGCGTTCATCTTCAATACATTTTGGAATTAAACCGGCATGTCATATAAACGAATGCATTCAATCTTACGTGATCATTACGTGATTCGTAAGATTCGCTGATATATATATATATATATATATATATATATATATATATATATATATATATATGTGTGTGTGTGTGTGTGTGTGTGTGTGTGTGTGTGTGTGTGTGTGTGTGTGAAGCAAGGTCAAGTTTGCACTCGAATATTGCATTTAATACTTCTATGGTAATTGCTCCGATGAGCTGCTTTCACTGGTTCCCAGACTTCATGAATTCAAGCGCCCTAGGAGGTTGGTATCCCGCTCTCACCCTTTCACTGTAGAAACTTAAATGTAGCCGTCTCTTCTACTCCAATAGCTTCATGTCTGGCACCTCTCGCCTGTGGAATACCCTTCCTTATTACAGTTTCCCTGGGAGCTATAATCTCCAATTATTCAAATGTAATGTCAATCGACATCTCCAGTTACCTTGATCTATCCACTATCCTTCTCCTCATCCTTTCTTCTATCACTCCTATCTATTCTCGCTCCAAATCTCCTGCAACCCCCTGCATCCAAGTGGCTTCACGCCTTGCTCGGGGGGTAATGCTTAAAAAAAATTGTATCAACTTACCAAGTAAGGTAAGTTTCGCGGCTTAGAAATTTAGCATTGAAAATCCTTCCTTTCACCAACAGTCAAATAAGGACAGTTGTTAACATTAAAATTATGAAAGCACACCAACGCCGAGCCATAAACTTAAGAAGATTGGATAACACTAGCTGACGTATCCGTTTATGCTGGGTAAGAGGGCCACTGAGACGTTTTATAATGCCTCTAATTAATTAATTACTGTCTGTATTTCTGGGATGAAGCGTCATTCGTCTTTACATTACTTACATTCGTACCAAATCTACGAGTCTATTATTCCAGGCGTCAATACCATAGAGGATTAACGTTTTGGTTCATAAATTTAGTGAAGTAAATTAAATGCCTGGACTGGCTATTAAAGAGTAAGACTCAATGAAATAAAAAAAACAATAATGCTTCAGTAGTAAAAATAGAACATCCCTAGGCATGAACAGCGGAAACCGAACATCCTACCCTCGTAGATTTAATAAAGTGTTTCGGTTTTAATTTTCTTGAAGGATAGCCTGAAGAAGGCTGGTGAACACAACTGTCGAAACTTTGTATTAAAAACAAAATATATTTAGATATTAGTTCAATTGTTTTTCTCAATAGAGTTCATCTGGTACAATGTTCAAGAGACACTCGTCTTAAAGGATTACAGATTTAGAAATATATTTTATGGGGACATATGAAAGAAATAATGGCTAAATCTAAACAGGTTTGGATTGTTAGCTTGGGGAAGTATCCTCTTGGGAGTCGAGTGCAAAAACAGCGGTGCGCTGGGAGAAGCTCCTTAGCGGAACTTAGTTGTCACCATTGGAATAAGAAGAAAATATAAATAAAAAAATTCCTTTACACTGAACATTCTTTCCATGCACCTTGTTTTATTAAGAAATAAAATATTTTTGGAATGTGTCCTTTCCATCCCGATAAGTCTACAGATCTCAGTGTCGCATAACTCCGTAGTCAGTAAAGACGCTTCCCAGATATTTAAACTTTGCCTGAATTTTCGATTTACATATTTCGGAATGTATATATATATATATTTATATATATATATACACACACACACACACACACACACATACATATATATATATATATATATATATATATATATATATATATATATATATATATATATTAACTCATACTGTGTAAAGATATTTACAGCATTTATTTGCCGACAAGAAAAAAAAAAGAAATCGATTGAATATGTTCCTGGTAATTTTCCAAGTTCTTTTTTTTTTTTTAAGTAGACCTATATTTTTCTTGTTCAGGTATTAATATTTAAATCGAACTCATAATCTTAAATAGAAGAGTATTGATCGATAATTATTACCGTAAAAGCTATTTCTGCTTAACTAACAAAGAGATCTCTCCTTTTCCCACTAGTAGTAAATTACACGTTAAAAATGTCACTTGTGTTGAAATTCATTCCAAAATCGAGGGGCCGTTATGAAACGTTGTGGCCGGATGTAATAAACAGAGAAATGCATTGAATAATAATAATGTTTGAAAAAAAAAGCTATTGAATTCAGTTATGTAAATGAAGAGTGTACCAATTTAACTTGTTTACAACATTCAAAATATATATTTTATTAAAGAAAAGAACATTTTTATTCATGCGCAATTATAGTTTAATGGCTAAAATTGTCATTTCTTTAAAGTGACTCTATTGATATACATACATACATATACACACACACATAGACACCCCCACACAAACACATACACACACACACACGCACACACACACACACACACACACACACATATATATATATATATATATATATATATATATATATATATATTCCTGAAGTCTTTTCGTCTTAATTTTTTAAGCAAATACATTAATATTTCGATTAAACTAAAATTAAAAAGTTTAGAATTATCTTTTTAAATTGTTAAATTTGCTAAAAAATTCAACCATAATATCGAATATGTCAACAAAACATGTTCCTATTTAGAAAATAAAATATAAATCTTTGTCAATCTGGACACAATAAAAGTCAATTATTTAACCAAAAATGTTAAGTTTCTAAAAAGGATTAAGAGATATAATTTAATAATGAAAAAATTGTATACTCTGTCCTCTTAAGAATAACATAAGATTTTGACGATAAATTTTGGGGTATTTCTTAATCATAAATGTTCACTGTGAGCAAAACTTTGGGCTATCCGTCAGGTATATATAAATGGAAATGGACAAAGTCCGACAATTATTTTAAGAAATTTTTATATTCATACTATCTTTTTATATTTACAAATATTAAAGTAAATGCTCTGTTTATAATAAACAGTATTAAAACAACATTTACCGGCCGGAATGTCCGATAAATTTTCATAGAAACTCTTGTCCTCCGTTTAGGCGGGTAAATGTTATTAATACTGTTTATTATAAACAAGAAATACAAATATTTGTATCTATAAAAAGAATGTATAAATATAAAAAAAATGTTTAAATAATTGTTTAAATTTATCCACTAAATTTATGACGTCATTTGTTTTAATTTGAATACGCCATGAAAAGATGTTAAAATACGTGAAATCATAAAGATTGTAGTTTAAAGACAGTAAAATAAGACCTTACTAACCGAAAATGTTCTTCTGTTGCCCAATCGATTAAGCTAAGTCGGTTAATAATGAAAAAATGTGTTTCTAGCATCTTTAGTGTTATAACTTTTATTATTATATTTTTTACCCTGTTCATTTATTCACGTCATCCGCGACAGACTTTCCTTTCATAATTTGTTTCCCCGTTTACTTTTCTGGTGAGAGGGACGAAACCGGTAGACTTTTGTTTTTGTTTTAAAATTTATCATGGCCTGTAGGTAAACATTTGTTGCCTTTAATGCCATAATACGTTTTTGTACCGTTAATATATATATATATATATATATATATATATATATATATATGTGTGTGTGTGTGTGTGTGTGTGTGTATGTATATTAGAATAAATTCTAAGGAGCCAGGAAAACCTAGGTTTCACCTAAGCGGATCTTCAGGGTAAACTGGTTTTCGTGGCTCCTTAGGATTTATTCTAGTTTATCGCTCTACTCAGGGTACTGAGCACTCTATATTTTAGTCTTTCTACTCATTTCTTTTTCTTCTTTGGACTAAGGACTTTAAGTACTTGGTGATTTGCTTCGTCTTTTTCTGATGCTTTTAGTTCTTTTTTTATTTACAATTTATTCCTCGGGTACCGATTTGTCCTGATATATCTGCAAGTTGAGCTATGATTTTCCAAATTTTCTGCTATTAATATATATATATATATATATATATATATATATATATATATATATATATATATATATATATGAGTTACGTTCGGACTAATAGCATGTCTCTTGTTATTATCGCAGCGTCGCAGCCGTTGTAGTTTTTGGCCATTTTCAAGGGCATAAGAAGCTTTTACCACTAAGACACAAGATGTTACATGTCCCTTAACTTATTTGAAGCAGAATCGTACAACGTGAATTCTAGCCACAGTGGCAGTTGCTTGCCTAACGAAAGATAATCTC